CGCAGCCACGGTTTCCCCAGTGGCGTGGTCTGAGTGCGGAGGATGGAGAATTGGGCTGTGGCGGGGAAGGGTGGTGTGGCAACAGGGGTGGTCCCCCAGAGATGCTGCCGGTTATGGACTGGGGAGGGGACAGCTGTTGGGTGGCTGGGCAGGGCCAAGGGGTGCTTTGGGGTCCAGCTGCAGGGTGCTGTGATGGTGAATCATGTCCCCATGCAGCAGCACGGCTTTGGGCTTCCCCTGGGGCAGAGGAGACCCCCCCCAGACACCCTGTCCCGTGTGACAGCATCCCCAGTGGTCCCCATCCTGCTCCTGGGACAAAGCACCCCCCCGAGTGTCCCATCCTGCTCTGGGACACAGCCCCCTTCCCCCACCCACCTCTGCCCCTATGCTGGTGCTGTGGTGCTGCACTGAGCTCCGGCTCTCGCTCCCCATCACATAGCCCCAAGGGCAGGGACGGGGGTTCCCCGCTCCCCCCAGCCCCCCTGCCCTGCAGCCACGAGGCTGGGGGGGCTCTGGCTGCTGCGAAGGAGCGGACAGGGGGAGGAAGGAACGGGCCTTTCCCGCTGCGGGGAAAGCGTGGCGATTTCCAACCCAAACACCCCGGCACTCAGCAGCCGCATACTTTCCCAGCGTCCCTCCCCTCCTTTATTCCCGAGGACACTGGCGATCAAACCCAGGTTGGCCCCATCTCCTGCTCCTGCAGTGAGGTCATCGAGCTGTGTTTGTGACATCCCGGCGTCTCCATGGCAGTGCGCTGTGATGTCATAAGCCTGGGGTTGCGACCTCACGGCAGGAGCAGAATGATCTTATTAAAACAACATGGTCCCCATTCACGGCCGCTCGCTGCCAGAGGACTCCGCTGCGGGGTAACGGCCAGTGGAGGAGATGGTGGTGGCTGGGGGGACACTGGGGATGGAGCCCTCCCTGGGGTCATGTCACCGGTGGGAGCTGGTGGTGACAAAGGGCACAATCCGGTGCCCAAAGCAGAGAGCAGCCCCAGGGCTGAGCTCCCCAACCAGTGCAAACACAGAAGCAGAGTGGAGCTGGGGTGACGGGGAATCTGGGGACAGCCATGCCAGAGCTCACTGCTGGGGGGTCCCCCAGGCTTGGCTGCAGCCCTGCCCGCCTCCGGGGTCGAGCGTCTGTGGCCTTATCGGGGCGCAGAGCCCCTGAATGTCAGGACG